TAGGTTGATCATACCTCAGTGGATATCTACAAACCACAGCAATAATTTAGCTCAGTGAGTAATAGAAATGAAAAAATAAGTGACATGGAGTTGAGATGGAGATGTGCAAGGGTTAAGAATTGTGAGATTGTGTAGTTGGAATTTTTCCTGTGTTCTGGCCAGCCAGCAGTTGGGACAAATCTCTCCCACATGCATTCCCCAAGTAAACACACAGAGGCTTATATTAATTAGAACTGCTTGGCCATTAGCTCAGGCTTATTACTGACTAGCTCTTGCACTTAAATTAACTCATAATTCTTATCGATGTTTAGCTATGTGGCTTGGTATCTTTTCTCAGTTCTGCCTTGTCATCTTGCTTCCCCTGTGTCTGGCTGGTAACTCCTGACTCAGCCTTCCTCTTCCCAGAATTCTCCTCATCTGCTTACCCCACCTACACTTCCTGCCTGGCTAATGGCCAATCAGCTTTTTATTTATCAACCAATCAGAACAACCCATATTCACAGCATACAGAATGATATCCCACAACAGGATTGTGGTGAAGGTTGAGTATGAGCAAGAACCATGGCATACATGCATAAAATTTTCAAATAATACATAAAAAATTTAATGACATACAATTTGAATCTTTAAGTAAATATCTCAACAGTTATTTATCTTTGGTTTGATGATCTGTGTAAATCATATATTCATTTAGGCTACATCTTCATGAAGGCAGTGTGTACTGCAGCAAAGCTTCTCCTTTTAGAGGAAGTCAGACATGATGCACTCAAATGAAAATAAATTCTATCATATTAGTCATTACTAAATTTGAAAGACAAAACTGTAGTGACTTCCCACCTCATCACAGTTGGAATTTCTGTAATAAAATGAGAGAAACAAGTAGCAACAACAAAATGTAGCCATATATTCTGATGTATATATGGTTAGAGAGAACATTTATAGGGAGTTGTTGAGAATAAAATGTGTTGTCATTATGGAACACATTCTGGAGGATCTTAATAAGGCTGAAAACAGAACTACCATAAACTCCCCAATAATTCTTTTGGGTCTATGCCTAACTGTTCTAAATAAACATACCATAGAGATTCCCAACCATCCATAATTCATAATTGCCAAGTTGTAGAATTAGCCTCAGTGCTCATCAACATATACCTGGGCAAAGAAAAAAATATATAGCATAAAATGATACTCATTCTCTGCTTTGTGGATTTTGAATTTTTATAGGTAGATGAGAGATACACACACATAAAGTATGAGAATGGTTCACATACCACATATCCAGATGGAAGTAAAGAGGAAGTAGAGTTTATAGAGGTAGATATGCTCAAAATACTCTATAGACATGAAGGAAATTAACTTATGAAACTCAACACTCTGTGCAAGGCATATAAACTGAAAGATATTTAAGGTGAATTTATGGAATAAATAATACAGAGATCACAGTTTTATTGTGGGTAGTACTAAATTCAGTTCCACTGATCCAAAGTAAAAAAAAAATTGATCATGAATCACAGACAATGCACTTTTATATTTCACCATTTAGATTTTCAGTTATAAATAGGTTTTTTAGTTATGTAGCTTTATCTGTTTAAGGGACCCTCTGTCAGTGGGATCAAGATCCATCCTTAGGGCATGAGTGGGCTTTTTGGAGCCCACTAACTATTAGATAGAACACCTTACACAACCTTGGTCCAGGGAGATGGGGTTGGACTTGCCTCAACTGAATGTATCAGGCTCTGCTGACTCCCCATGGGAGACCTTGCATTGGAGGAGGTGGGAATGGGGATTGGGATGGGGGGAAAACTGGGGCCTAGGAGGAGGGAGAGGAGGGGATATATGGTTGGTATGTAAAATGAATAGAAAATTTCTTAATAAAAAGGAAAAGAAAAATGGCTTTTTAAAAAACTTTTGTATATGTGTTTGTATGTATGTACATGTTTGCATGCATGTGAGCACTTATGTTGGTGTGCCTTTATGTTGGTATAACTGTATTGACTTTTGGGTGTTTTTTGCAATCACTCACCACTTTATTTGCTGAGGTGAGATCCATCACTATATCTGGAGCTAGTTGATTCAGCTTGTCTAGCAAACCAGCGTGCTTCCAGGATGCATTTTCTTCAACTCACCAGCACTTGGGTTACAGGGCAGCCTGCCACACCAACTGGAGCTTATTGACATGAGTACAGTTCTGTCTGTCATACTCATGGGGCAAGGCATATTTATATTGGACACTGATCCCAGTCTTTAGACTTCATCCTTAAACATTAATACATTAAAAGAAAGGTAATATATAAGCAGAAATAATACAGATACAAGAGGGAGGATATTCAAACATCACTCATTTGTATATAGTATAGTGATAATTTTGGTAATAGTGAGATATTATATTTTTATGTAATGTTCTGGAAAATTTCAGAAAAAACACTCTGAATTACCTTCTTCTGTATTTGAGATCAAGAAATAGTTATTCTTACTAATTTTACTGACCCTTCAATTGGAGATTCTAGTTCCTACATGTTTAAATAATAAGATGATGATCAATTAACAAGGAATAATTATAACTAATGATAAGATTAGTAGCATATAGAGAAAATAGAACTGAAACAAAAGTATTGGTTTCAAAAAGATAATGAAAAAATCATGGTACTATGTAGTTGGCTGCTTTCCTCTCGCGATAACATGATCATCACTTGAAGTCTTTGGGTAGAGAAAACAGCTAGCTCACCACTGGAACTAATGGAACAGAAAAAAAAAACTAATATATAGTTGGGAATTTATAATAGAACTAGTGACCCTGCTAGAAGGATGATTAGAAGGTCATAAGAATCTCTTACGGGATTGCAACATTACTCCTTACTGCCTTCTTACCTATTGCCAGAATGTATAGGAAATTCAAAGTTAACTGAGGGGGACTTTTTGATTAAGTCTCCTTGATGTCATCCTGCATGATGAGGTGGTACTTCACAGTGGTGCAGCTGTTTTGGGGTCATTCTTACTCTTATGTCATTCCTTACTTGTGCACTGTAAATAAAGCAAAAAAAGTTCATTGTTTGGAAGATTACTAAAAGTTAGTGTGTGCAGGAGCATACATAAAATATATAGTCATAATACATCAGAAACAAGTGTTTGTGTAATGCATAAAGATTGTTTGTGATTTCTAAGACCAGAGAGTAATACTGTAAAAATCATAGTAAATAACATGAAAGTATCTAGATAATTTGATAATAGAAGAATACAAATTTGACTAATTTGAGTTTCTCAGAAACTCATTATAAATAGTCTCCTGAATTAAGTTGATGCACAAGAGAAATGTTCCCCAGGGTTTTGACTGTCCTTATTTAATAACAATCCACATCTGAAACCAAAATAATTAGAGTAGAATCAGTGTGGCTGCCTGAGGGAAACAGGAGCATACAAAACACAAAAGATAAAATTCTCATTTGGTTTCACAGACGATTTCAGGTGGATGTGTAGAGGTAAGCTGGAATTCTTTTCTTACACCATTTATGGAGGATAGCTCTGACCTTCAGAGTCAAGATGCTCTTAAAACACCACAGAAAAGTCCATGATCTTATTTTGAAAATGATCTACCCATTAAGTAGGTCTCACTTACCTCTGTTCTCCTTACCAAGTGAAGTTAGATATTTGTCAAATTGCAGTAATGATGGTACTGGCAAAAGAACTGATTGCATATATACAGAATGTGAGCAGAGAGAATTTAAGAATACAAGAGCATACAATTGTATTTATTTATGCACTATTTTATTTTTTCTTTTATTATATTGTTGAATGATTTTTTTTGCATGTATGTATGTGTACCACACACATGACTGGTATATTTGGAGGCCAAAAGAGAGTATCAGATCTCCTAGAATTAACATTACAGATGTTAGTAAGCCACCTGTGAGTGCTGGGAATGGCACCCAGGTTCTCTGGAAGAGCAGGCCGTGCTCTCAATGCTGAGCCATAAATCTAGCCACTTCAATGTGGTAATTTAAATGCATCAGTGAATGAATCTAGAAGGCAAATGGTATACTAGGATATGAAATATATAAATATTATCTCTCTCTATATGAAATATACACATATAAATAATACCTTCTAGCATTCATGTTTATGATAATTATCACAATGATATATAACCAGAGCAATATGATAATGCAACTCTCATTTCTTATTAGAAAAGATCTGTTTTAAGGAAACTGGCTTCAGTGGATTTCTTTTACATTTCTTATTTTTAATATAGAATTTTTTCTGTTTTTGTTGTTGTTGCTTGTTTTTTTTCCAAATATCTGTGGGTGTGCATACTTGTAAAGTTCAGATTTTGGTATCAGGAATAATTGCCAGTTGTTCTTCTAATTAACTAGCCAACTTATGGTCTCAGGAACAATCCCAGAACTCAGTATGATGGCTAGTCTAAATATCAGCTTGCTGTAGATCCTATCTCTGACTTTTAAGCATAGAATAATACTAGGGCTTCCACAACCATTAAGCATTATTTTGGGTTTCTGGAGATGTGAACTCTGCTCTCCAAGGTAGCAAGCTGCAAGCTGCAAGCACATAACCATGGATCCATCTCTCTTTGTAAGCAGCATCACAACCTGTGGATTTCACTACAAACGGCAAAACTTCTTTTAAATAAGAATTAAAGAAAAGCTTCAAATAAAATCTATAGATTTAAAGACTTTATATTGATATAAATGAAGGAAAGGAAATATGCAAACACAAAAACATAGAAAAAAATTGTAGTAAAATTTCACTTTTCAGAGCAAAGTACAATGTATAATTTCCCTACACTATGCCCATATTAGTAATGTATGCATCTCAAAGCCTTGATGAAATATAGCTGAATCTAGGAAAATAAATCTGCCATGGGTTCATTTTAACCACATGCCAGTACTCTTTTGATGTTAAAAATCTCATGTTGTAGTTAAAAAGCAGAGTTATGGTAAATGGCTATTAAAAGAACTTATAAATATATTCATTCATCTCATCCAGCCAATATAAGAAACTTGTGATCTTGGAAAAGTAAACTCATTAAACATATGGAATTTGTTTTATCTTCAGGTGAAGATCAAAATTCTAATATTACAGCTACAGAATTTGTTCTCTTAGGATTTTCTGATGTCCCTCATCTCCAGTGGATGCTGTTTGGAATATTTTTGCTCATGTACTTGACTATTCTGATCTGCAATGGCATTATAATGCTGCTAACAAGAACTGATCCTGCTCTGCAGACCCCTATGTACTTTTTTCTCAGCAACTTTTCTTTTGTGGAAATCTGCTATGTAACAGTCACAATCCCAAGGATGCTCATGGACCTTTGTACCCAAAAAGGGACTATTCCCTTGTTTTCCTGTGCTGTACAACTCTGTTTTGTCATCATGCTTGGAGGTATGGAGTTCCTCCTCCTGACGGTCATGGCCTATGACCGTTATGTGGCCATTTGCAATCCTCTGCACTACCCCCTGGTCATGAACAATAAGGTCTGTGTGCAGCTTGTGGCTGCTTGCTGGATCAGTATTATTCCAGTTGTGACTGGACAAACTTATCAAATTTTCTCTTTGCCTTATTGTGGATGTAACAAAATTAATCACTTTTTTTGTGACATCCCCCCACTACTCAAGCTTGCTTGTGGAGACACATTTGTGAATAATTTAGCAATCTATGTTGCTTCGGTGGTGTTTATTATGGTTCCTTTTCTGTTGATTATTGTCTCCTATAGCAAGATTATCTGCAACATTCTAAAACTGTCATCAGCAGGAGGAAGGTCGAAAGCCTTCTCCACCTGCTCATCTCATCTTATAGTTGTGGTTTTATTCTATGGAACAGCTACTATTACATATGCACAGCCACAATCAAACCAATCAGAAAGCATGGGGAAGCTGCTGTCTCTTTGCTACACCATTTTGATCCCATTGTTGAATCCCATTATATATACACTACGGAATAAGGACATCATGGTAGCACTAAGAAAATTACAAACTAAGTTATCAACATATGGGAACACTTAAAATTACAGAAATGGTTGCTTTATATTATTTACATGCTTTTTTATATTATTTACATGCTTGTATAGCACATAAGAATTGTTACCGTTATTTCTGAAATATCCAATTATAGTAATTAATATTATATCTCATGTCAAGTGAACTTTGTTTGACAAACTTTAGTTAAGTAGTCCTATAGTAATCCAAAAATAAATTAAAGCAATCTTTAATTTCAGGAGTCAACATTTTAGCACAAGGGAATAGAGTATAATGAGATTCTCCCCCTAACTGAGGAAATTTTTGCAGTCTTTGGAGAGAGGAAATCAGTTTTCTTTAAGGATGTAATGGCCCTTGGTGGTTCTACTCAAACTACAGTGGATGATCCTGTTCGCAGAAACACAAATTTGGCTGCATGGGTTTAAAAAGTAAAGATTACTAAGTTGGGCACAAATAACAAAATAGAAATAGATGTTGGAGGAGTCACAGTATGCCTTAAAGGTGAATGTGTTCAATATACAATGTATGGAATTTTGAAATATTTATGTAAAAATAAGTTTCAGTTATGCATTTGTGCTGTGTATATTGCTGAATTGCAACTTACTTCTCAAACTCTTATGTAATAAAAATAGTCAACAAAGGACAGTGTGCTCTTAAAAAAATAAAATTGGTGAATTTATTGCGGTGAGGATCACAATTTAACATAAAATGCAGAGTTTCAAACCATGGAGTAGAGGTATAAGAGTTCGAAACAACCATGACATATCATCAGTACCCATTGGAGGAACTCAGTTCATGGCACACTTTAAAAAAATAATAAATATTCCAAAATAGTATAAAAGAGATTGTTCTTCAAATAAAACTTCCCTTTTGGTAGACTATTCATACTTAATGTGGATAAATCTAGGTCAAAATAAGATGTAAAAGAAAGATTTGTTGGCAAAGTTAGCATTCCACCATAAGAAGTTTAATGTGGAGGGTCCTCTTTTCCTCTCAGCCTGTTGGTCTCCATGTCAAGAGGTCAAGAGGCAATAGTGTTAATAGAAAACTTTGTACGTGGCCCATGAGCATGAAAGGAGACAGTCCTCCAGGGGACAGATTTTGGTGAATCACCTCAACTTCATCCTGGAAAATAAAAAATATATAGGATTCAGGAGCCTGGAGACAAACCCTAATTTGCATTAAGTGGTATGTTTCTATCATAAGGCTCCTAGCACAAGTCTTAGTTATCATATGTGCAGCAAGGGAGCCTTCTAGCAGAAATCTGTGTCAGAGTTCAAGCTAAAGATAAGTTAGGCATCTGGTTTAGAGACAGTTTCAGATAAGGTCAGTCTTTCAGGCCCAGAGACATTCTCCAGATAAAGGAAGGTAGAGTCAGAAATTTCTGCTGAAGGGAGGGAGCTCCATGTTGCCAAGTTGTTGAGATAAGCTGCCAGGCCATGGGGAGACTCGAACCTCTACCACCCAACAATATATTCCATCAGGTTAAGAAAGAAAGATCAAGAAATCAAGACCAGGTTTGAAATTACATTGTGGGTTGGTGGCCAGTCTGATATATAGGAAATATGGTCTCAAAAAAATAATAAGATACTTTAAGCAGAAAATAAAATATGAGATAAAGAATCACTCCCATTCATATAATTTCCCTTCAACATGACTACAGAAAGTTTGTTACTCATGAAATTAAGTGTATAGAATTCATTCACATTATCCAATATAATGTATGTAATCTTCATGAACTAGTATGAGAAAAATATTTTTACTGAAATAACTTGGTAAATCCATTATAATTTGGCAACTCCCCCATCCAAATAATATTGATTTATACATCCTACTGACACACAACTTCTAAAGACATGTACTAATATAAAAGAAAAGTCAAATCAAAGTTTATTATACTATATCCAGATGTGTTAATTGATTCTATTGTATATAATCTTATATATTATGGAAGTGTATATAGGCATATTAGATAGAACTCAAAAAAGATGCAAATGAATATAATACATCATTTATATTGAATACCTAGTAAGGAAATACTACTTACATTAGAGCAGAGGGATTAAAAACAAATTGCACTTTCTAGTATACTTATAATACATCATGAACTAGGAACAAAAATTAGCTAACACATATTTGAATGAGAAAGTGTTTATGACAGAAATATTTGGAACTACAGCTTTAGAAAACCAAAAGAAGGCTATTCTTTCTTGTCTTACAAATAACCCTTGCCATGTCCTTTCTGCTATGGACTCTTCAAGATGCTTCTGGATGTTGTATCACATCTATAATACCCTACTCTCAACCCACCCACCTGCCCCAAAAAACCCTGAAAGAAGAAAAAAACCATAAATCCAAACAATTTACAAAGTGAAATTTTGTTTTAAAACAAAAAATGTAAAATAACCAAAGATGATTATATGAACATAGTTTGTAATATTTATATAAATATATAATTTTTGAAACAGCAAGAAGGGATCATTATGGAAGAGGGGCAAACAGAGGCATACACAACGGTCGTGAAAAGCATAAGCAGAACCTGTGAAAGCAAAAACGAGACCAAATCCTAGCATGGGAAACACACACACATGATAAGCAATGTTACCTTCTGGAGAAGGAAGAGTCATTTTTGTCTTATAGTGTAGGCCCTGGTAAGTCAACAATGCTCTAGTAGAAGACCAGACCCCAGGAACATTTTGTGCAGCACCAATTTGTTTTGGGTGGTTCAAAACAAACAAGTCAGGACGTAAAAGAGGTAGATAGAGAGTGAGGGGTTGGATCTTGGAATAGTTGACGTGATGAATATGATCAAAACTTGTTTTACAGACCTGGAAACTCATAAAAATGATTTAAAAGGAAGATAGGTAATAATTAAAGACCATACTACGTGAGGTCATAGGATTGAACCCAATCTTACTGATTCTGGTCAAGAACTGACACTGCTACTAAGTTATTCTCCAGTACTGGAACATACTGTCATGAAAATAAAATATCAGAAAACAATTCATAAAGTAAGTGAGAACATACACCTATTGAGACTCATGAAAACAAAAACATAGAATAACTTAATACAAAAAATATTGGTGTATGTAGGAAAGCAGTATAAATGCTTATATTAAACATATATAACCAACAACTAAGCTTCATGAAAGGAACATAAATAGGAGGAAGATAATTGAGTCATACATGTGAAATGAGTTCAATGAATGCTCTACAAATTAAGTGTATTAACCACATACAAATGGGCTCATCATTCATTGTCTTTGTCACTAAAGCCATGAAAATCAAGGCAGCAATGAGAAACCGAGTTCACTGATGCTGGAAGCTGAAAACTAAATTCCTGACAGTTTCAAATGTTTGCAAAGTTGTGGACAGAGGCATATGGGTGTTTGTGATACAAAATAGTAAGACCGTATTAGAAAGCATTCTGACTGTTTTCTAAATATGCAAACATGTATGAAACTATTTATTAAGTAGAAAATAAATATATAGGGTGAATAAGAAATTTGTTCATTCAAACATGTCTATAATAATTAAAACAGAGAAGAATCAGAAACTGGTCAGAGATGAATTGCTAAGAAAATCATGTCATATTCATCCAGGAAAATTAAGTTCTGCAATGATTATTGATGAACAAATGAGAAATGTTGCTAACATGAGTCTTAAATCCTTATTTGAAAGAATATTTCTACACATTAGAAATTGAACTGCCAAGACCTCAGGTGATTCTGGAGCAAGGGCATCTACTCTAGAGTGGAGCAATTTTCATGTGTAGTGTTTAAAACTTCCTGAGGTGCCTGTAGAACCAGACTTGACAGTATATTCAGAAAGAAAAAAAAAAAGACTGGGAGCAGATGCAGAGGTCAAGGAAGAAATAAAACACACAAGAGTAGAAGCTGGAGCATTAGCCATAGTAGGTCAAGTAACAGTGGGAACAGCTCCAGCAGCAGTAATGCTAGTATTTGAAGCAGCTCCAGTAGCAATTCTAGTGCATGCGGGAGCAGCAGCAGAGATGGCCGAAACAGCCATAGCAGTAGTAGTAAGAGTAGAAGTCAATTTACAGGGCAAGGACATACTGAAATAGCAAGCCCAGAAAGAGCATGGACAGGGAGCAAAGGGATGCTTGAAGACTAGAAAGAAATTACAAATTTTCTGAAGGGTGCTAGTACAGTTGCAAAAGAATCCAAGGATAATAATTCCAGATCTGACATAAAACGCTCTATATCAGAGATTAGTTGATCAGTCATAAGACATTCAAACAGTCATAAGACATTCAAGAAGTGAAAGAGACTGAAAACCAGACAGGAAAGAAAAAAAAAGTATTAATAAAAGAAGCCAGGCTTTGTTAACATACTTTTTTGCAGAAGATTTCATGATGAGCAAAAGGATTACCTTAAAGGAAGAGGCTGCTTAAGAATTGCATGCTGTATAATTTTCATGGAACCCTCAGTGACCACAACAATCATGCCCATGGGACATTTCCTTCCAGGCAACATACAGCCACCATACTCTCCTAAATTCTAGAGAGCAAACAAACCAAGGAACAAAACACCCACCCAACTTAGAAAACAAAACAAAAACCAGTATAGAACTATAATCTTTGGAATCCCAGATGCCTAGACATCAGCAAAACACTGCCACCAATAACAGCCAGGACAATATGTCCTCACTAGAGCTGAACAACCCTAACACAGCAGGCTCTGAGTATACCAACTACACTGAAGCACAAGAAAAACACCTTAAGACTGCCTATATGAATATTATAGAGGTCCTAAAACAGGAACCATATAAACCCTTTAAAGAAATTCAGGAAAACAAAAATAGTGGAAGGTAATGAATAAAACTCTCAAAAATATGAAAGTGGAAATGGAGTCAAAAGAAATGAAACACACACACATGACCATGACCACAACCAATAATAACAAGAACAACAACAATCAACAATTGATTGCAACGGCTATCTCTCAATAGCAGTGGTGTCAATTCTCCAATAAAATGACACAGACTAACAGTGGATGGGAAGACAGGATACATC